CAGCCCGGTGTTGCCCGCCTGCCTTTGTTTTTATTTAAAGACACATAAATATACAAAACCTATAAGGTCATAGAAATACCTGTGAGTATAGATACATATGTAAATAGATACACTTAAATTCATAAACATAGGTTAATCCTGCTTCCTTTGAGAAATAAAGCCCTATCTGCCTGAATAAACATGCTGATTTTACTCGTTTCGCCTCCTAGATTCTGAAGCAGTTGGAAAAAGTGCAGTGAATGAGAAAATTTTCAAGAAAACACATTTCTGTGCATGCTTCTACCTGGCTGGGAGTACAAAGCAGTCAGTGGCCTTGGAGGGCGACTCTCGTGACAGGAGTTAATTTTATCATCCCCCACAAAATTGCATGTGATGCCTCATCAAAAAAAACCTTAAGTTGGGAGTCTGTTTTATTCTTGAAAGAAACCTTCCAGTTCTGTCTATAATGCTGCTACCACATACCACTGTTACAAAGTTGCCACCAAAGAATACAATACAATATTCTTTTCTGTAACCACTGCATCTAATTTTGGGATTATGAGACTGATTCCAGACTCACTAAGAGTAGAGAAAGGACGCCAGTGTTTCTTTTGGCTTTGGATCAAGCATTTGTAAGAATCAGGGCTAGGAAAAATGTCAAACTAGAAGACTTTAATAGATTACAAACATTGGCTTTTCAAAGATAGTAGAGGAATACTTTCCAGAATCAAAGCAGAATCCTACTATCACGGGTATGTTGAAGATCTAATTGCTGGTATTTTGTGTCAGTGATGTCAAGTTCTGGTTCTGGATTTGGGCTGAAGAGCCTTAAGATCAACAGCAGACAGGAATTCTTTATGATTTGTTACAGCAGTGAATGATGTTGGTACTTCATTTCTGTATAGGAAAGTAGCTTAAAAAAAAAAATCTCTGATAGATGATCTAAAGCAACATAGTTTTTTATATTAATATTTTAGTATTTTATGTTAGTCTTAGCCCTCCAGACTCAGTATGCAGTCATTCTTTTGAACCTGTACAGACCTCATTAGGAAAAGGGAATGAATCAACGTTGCTGGAGTTTGTGTGTTACGGATTCAAAATATTTCACACTTGAGACAATGACTGTTACTTTATGTTCATGTGACACCACTCATGGTTGTTTCCTAGACTGTGACTTAGGCTGTCAAACACTGCAGAACTGTAAAAATAGCTGGTATTTAGATTTCTGTAACTTCCTTCAGGAAGAAAGTAAAAGGGATTGGATTTGCTGACCCAAGTGCTGGAAACAGGAAGAGATGTTTAGCTGAAATGAAATTAAATCTAACAAAAAAGGTTTCCTTTGTTTTGCAGTATCTCCAGTGTGTTTGGAAAGCTAATAAAATTCATCTCCTTGACCACTTTTGTGCATAAATACACTTAAGTCACACATGTATTAGACAAATACACATTGTTACATTTTCACCTGCCCTCAGCTTTCTTCTGAGCTCATACATCCTGAGGGATGAATTAATATTTCACATCTCATACTGCATAAGAGGTGGCACCTAGCTGCCCAGCCTTAGGAACAAGCCACTGAAAGAGCTGTCATGCTAGCAGTTATCATTTCGTTTTTCTAGCTCTCAGCTTGCTGTTTGGAAAATGGAAGGTAATTCCCTACAAGGCACCCTGTGGTTTAGATTATTTTCATGCTTCTTAAAACCTCCGGTTGGGTTAGTTAGTATGTACATACAGCAGAGAAGGCCCATATGTACAAGACATACACATCTCCATTCTTACTAGGTTAAGGGGAAGCAGTGAACTGTTGAAGCTTCATCTTCCTTAGACACTGTAGGAATATGGAAATGCCACACTGATTAATGAAACTCTTCCATCCTTTATGCACTGTTTCACATCACAAGCCAAATACCTTAGCCTGCATAGTGAAGAATTTTTAGCACCTGATACCACAAATATAAAGAAGAAATCTCAGAACCTTTGTCTGAAAGCAAATATCTAGCTGTAAAACTTTTGGAATGCAATTGACACAGTGCTGTATTTTCTGACCAGACTTATCTACTGCGTATGACAGCAGCCTGGTTGGGAGTTTGTGAACGGTGAACACCACTTTGTGGTCTGTACTGCACTTCTGGCTCATTTCTAAGGAAGATACCTGGTTGGTTTTGATGCCCTCAGAGTTCTGGATGTTGTCCAGGTCCAAGCCAGATCTTCCCATTGAATGTCCTTGCATTCGTAACCAGAGACTTCTCAGGGAGTAAATGTAGTATTGACAGGAAAGGGCGATTAGAGCCCAGCTTTATCACCCTCGGCATCTGTTTTTTCAGCCTTTTCCTAAGAGGCAAGCTGGTTGTTTGAGTCACTGGAAGTGGAAAACATTTCTTCATAGAGAGTTGGGCGGTATATGGATCTAGGTTACACTAAGAAATCTCTCTACTTGGACCTTAGGAGTAGTCTTAAATTAAAGGTCTGCTCAGAGTTTTAGAACATCTATTTTTATTTACTTTGTGATATAGATTATGCATTTAATAATTATTTATTTTTCACTGTCTATTTTGTTTTACTTTACTGAACTCGATACTTGCTTTTTGTAACTCCTCACCTCCAACAGTTTCAAGCATTCATTGCCTGATGCATTAGCTGGAGATCATCTTTGGAAGCAATTCTTTTCATAGAACTAGAGCGTTTCAGGTTCATGACAATTTTAGAATTAGGCATGATCAAAGTTTGGCATCAAACTTTGAATTTTTGTCTTGGGTTAATTTTTATCTGAGTAAGGATTGCAAAGATCTTCATCTTTTATCCATATTTAGTATTGCCTACTTATAACAGAATGCCATGCTCTATCATCTGAGACAGGGATAGGAATCTTTTTTCTTCTCATCCCCTCTGACAGTAAGAGTAAGGACTCTGCATAAAGCTATTGAGAAATTTCTGCAGACTCATTCTAGCAGGCACAGCTTGTTAATGCTACCACAGAAATGTGTCTAGCGAGATAAAAGCAGTGATATGGGCAGGACAGAGGAGGTCCTGTAGAAAGTGGTAGGAATGGCCAGACTTTAAAAAAAAATAAATTCAAGAGACCTCCATCGTCTCATGTATCTCTGAAATACAGTCACTGTTTTTTCTAGATTTTGGGGAAATTGAAGGTTTGAAAAAAGTGAAAGCATGTTTTTTTCAAATCATGCACAGATTCCATCTGGAATCAGTATGGGGACTACATTCACATTGTTATTTCAAGAAATACAGACTTGACTTCTGTCAGGCTACTGAAATACTGTTTGAATGGATGTTACGAGCATCATAAAAGCCGTTCCTTAAAATTAACTCAGATTTTAAAGTTTCGTTTATGTTGCATGCACTCTTATGGAGAATAAATGAAAAAATTAGTTCTGATATATACCGCTTCCACAGTTAAACAAGTTTAGAGCAAGTTTGAATTCACCTAACTAGAGAGTTTCTACTACTGAGCTGAAATAAACTTTGCCCAGCGACAGTAAGTGAAAGCCTTACAACACCTACAACTTCAGTTGTTAGGACACATTAGTGTTTAACTTGAGCACTGTTCTACAAAACAGCTTCTTGGTTTAAACTTCCCTTTGTTCTTCTTTATACAAGAACCAGTTTTAAGAGATGAACAATTACCTAAGGTACCCAGAACAAATTTGAGTCCTTCAAGGGTAAATTTAGGTTGTAACACTAACCACTCAGTGACAAACCTGTGCCTTAGCTTCTGCTCAGGTCTAACAGCAGCACTTTTGCTCATTCGGTTTCCTTTGGACTACAGAGTATTTTTGCACTCAGACTACTTTAATCACAATTCTATCTGTATAGAAGTCTATTTAATTGTGTAATCTATTGGAGAAAAAAAATCAAATGAGAAGAAAATTACATTAAGGCCTTGACCTCAAGTCACTTGTCAGACAAGACTGCTGCTGAAGCACTTAGGAGATTTGACCAAAACATTATATGGTTAAAGTGGCTAATTTTCCAGCAGAGAATGGGACTGGGTTTTCTCCAGTCCTCTGCTGAGCAGAGAGTACAGACATTAAGAGCATTTGAATCCTCTACCTCTGTCTTCTATTCTAAGCCTTCCAGGAGAGCATGAGACTTGTGTGACCTACTGACCTTATATATTAATACTAATGAATCTCTCCAGTGAGCAAGCAACGTGCTTTTCAGCCAACATGGATTTATAGCAGGTCAGCTGGATCCTTCCAGCTTTTGACAAGTCATTCATTTCCTCTATCAGTACTGCATCAACACTGATTTATCTATTCTTCATCTAAAATTAGAGCCATCTGAAGACTATTATATAGGCAAAATTTCAGGAAAGGGTGTTGGTGCATTTTTAGGAGGAATTCATTGACTGTTCTTCTATGATCTCTAGTAAGCCACAGTTTTCAGGGGCTTCCCAAATACCACATCCCATCTGGCCATGATTCTGACTCATCACTCCCTACTGCATCCTCCCCGTTACCTCAACAAAATGCCAGGATTTTTCCTTCATGACTCTGTGGACAGTAACAACATGGAAATGACACATGAAAGGTTTCAAAGCTTCTTCAAAACAGTTGCAGCATACTTTGTCAAGGGATACACAACAGTGATAATACATATTGTTTAAAAAACTCAACAGCAAAACAAGAAATCACAAACTATGTGCAAAACCTACACAGCGCTCACACCATCTACTTTTGTGATTTTGTTTTGGATGTGTGAGTTAGAGCCTACTCCTTTTTCAGTGGAAAATAGCGCACAAGAGGGTATGATGCAGCCACTCTCAGCTGGCTATGAATGTTCTGGTACACTCTCATGGTGCAATGCAGCTCCATGCAGAGGTACCAAAACCCATGTACCTGCACATTACATGGCCTTGCAGTTGTGTCAGTTTGCCAGCTCAGGCTTCTTACTATGTTTACATCGTTGTGCAGAAACCAGGTCTGGAGACAGCTTGTTCAGGGCTGCCTTGGGATCTTTGCACTGCAGTCTGGAACCTAGAAATATCACATGTCAGCCTGAAGCAGCTGACAACTTTTTCCCTTCTTTCCTTTTAGTAAGGCAGATCTTTCTGCCTTACTATTGGTATCTTCAGAATCACATTCCATTCCAAGGGCAGTTGTGTTTGTTTCCTTCAATAAAGCTATTATTTTATCTTTCGTGGTCAGCTTGGTTAACAGACTTTTTCTGAGCCAACTCTACAGTCGATATCTCACAAAAAACACCATTATATGAAGCTGCATCAGATATCAGGCAACATACAAAATATTTTTGAGTTACCAAAAGTTTCCATTTGCGAATCCTTTCAGAAAAACAAAGAAAACAAACCCAACCCTTTTCCCTCAACATTTCAGTACTTGTTCATGCAACAGAACTATGAATATTTCCCAAATCAGTTAGCAGATTTGGTAACAGTTTCTGTTTCGCAGGTGATCTGATTGACTAAGGCATTCTCAAAAATCCCTTGGTTGTAAAAACATACTCGGTAAAATTGAGACCAGTTGGAATTTTTAATTCTTCTTGCTTCCATGTCAAGTGTTCAGTTCTCATTCTAGGAGTTCTGCAAATGCCTAGAACGAGGGCCCTGATGGTGTTTGTCAACATTACACATCTCTGACCGTGTTCCATGAAATCAAGGGAAGTTTTCGTATTCACTGCAGCTATATTAGCCCTAATACGATAACTGTGCTTATTTCCTAAGGAAGGTTTCTGTTCCTCTTTATATTCATATTGCCATTTTCTAAGGTAAGACCATGGCTCTGTTCAAAGCCTACAGCATTCTTGTTTGCCTAGTGAAAAGTAGTTTAGGTGTATTTCAGAGTGCATTTTGCTTAGTGTAACCTCTTGAATCCCTTGAAAAGGAAAATCCAAGATGTGAACAAAAATAAAGAGAAAAATTTCATGGTTCAGTCCTAGACATTTTTTCTGATAAATTAATTTAAAAATAGATACATATTAAATAGTAATTAATATTCACCATATCTGGTCTCCTCATATTTTGCTCATCTCTAAGTTATACTGCACACATATTCTTGAATCATTTATTCTACAGCACGGTATTATTATTTATTAAATGAAAGTTTAGTATACAGCTTTTTTTGTTGTTTTTTTTAAATGAAGGCTATCAGTTTCTCAAGAATTTTTTTCCCCGTATATATTTTCATTATGTCTAGTTTTCACTCTTGGTTATATTCCGGATGTGTTCTGCTATGACTTTCCATCACAGTGCACTCATTAGCAGTTCTGTAAATAGCTTCTTCAAGTGCCAGACCTGAGGCTCCCTTCTGGACTTCTGATTTGGGCAGCACTCCACACTGATTTCACTTGGGAGTTTTTCCTCAGTAAGTGTTTTAAAGCCTGCATCTTTTCATTTGCAGAGCCTCCTGTCAAAAAGTCAGAA